TTTGGGTACAGTGTTGCATGACTGCGCAATTGTCATTCAAAGTGTGAAAATTGGCCCGGGCAGGAAGGGGATAAAGGTACCTGGTACTGAAGTGGTTAAAAACACTACTAAACGCATTAAAAACACACTCAAAATGTGGCACTTGAGTTTTATATGCAGCTCCCTTGAAGTCTATTAAACTAAAAACGCAGACTGCTGCAGGAAAAGAAGCCCCTGACCCTTTCAAAAAACCAACCCACAAGAAACACATAGATGTGAACGTGATCCATAGGAAAATCATGATAAATGGCATGCACTGCGTTCCTGCAAAACGCAAAATGCATAAAAACCGCACAGGTGTGAACCTGGCCTAAGTCTAGGTTTACACCTATGCGTTTTCCATTGCTTTTTTCAGAAACGCACAGCAGTCCATTTAACATGATTTCCTATGAGACAGGTCACATCTCCGCGTTTTCCCAGTACGTTTTTTGGAAAGGGTCGGGGATTTTTTTTAAACGCAAAACATTTTGTTAATAATTTTACAGACTTTAATGGAGATGCTGCAGAAAAGCATGTAGTGCGTTTTGGATGCATTTTTGACGTATTTTGCGTCTTAATCTGCCCAGCAGCAAGTTGAAAAAAAAAAAGGGTCAAAAACGCATATGCAAAAACGCAAAGCGCACCGCAAAAACACTGTAGAAACATATCAAATGTTAAATGGTTAGCACTTCCACCTGGCAGTACTAGGGTCATTGGTTCAAATCCCAACCACAGCACCACCTGCCTGGAGTTTGCATGTTCTCCCTGTGCCTGTGTGGGTTTCCTCCTGTTTCCTCCCACACTTTAAAGACATGCTGGTAGGTTATTTGGATCCTGTCTAAATTGGCCCTAGTGTATTATTATTATACAGGATTTATATAGCGCCAACAGTTTGCTAAGCGCTTTACAATATAACAGGATACAATACATCAACACTACAGTTCAATACAAGAGGGAAAGGAGGGCCCTGCCCCTTGGAGCTTACAATCTAGGAGGGAGGGGCTAGTGGTACAAAAGGTAATAACTGTGGGGGATGGACTGGTTGGAAGAGTAGAAGATTCTATTATTAGCTGAGGTCAGGATAGGCTTCCCTGAAGAGAGAGGTTTTCAGAGATCGCCTAAAAGTGAGCAGAGCAGGCGATAGTCTGATAAATTGGGGTAGAGAGTTCCAGAGGATGGGGGAAGCTCTGGAGAAGTCCTGTAAATGAGCATGGGAGGAGGAGACAAGGGAGCTAGAGAGCAGGAGGAGCACAGAAGATGATTTGGAGACAAGATTGGAGATGTAATTTGGGGCAGAGTTATGTGAGGAGCGGAGAGTACGGTTTGGGTGATATTTAGAGACAAGATTGCTGATGTAATTTGGTTTTGGTATGAATATAGGTTAGGGACCCCCAGGGGTGGACTGACCATTTGGAAACTCGGGCACTGCCCAAGGGCCCGGGGTCAGTAGGGGGCCCCAGGAGATGCCCCTGGTACCTTTTTCATAGGCTTTTTTGAGTTTGGGCAAGGACACAGGGGCCCCATGATCCCCTATTGCCCGGTGGCCCCATGGTTGTCAGTCCGCCACTGGGGACCCCTTGAGGGTTAGGGACTGATGTGAATGTACAATATATATGTAAAGCACTGCGTAAATTGATGGCGCAATATAAGTACCTGAAATAAATAAAAATAACACAAACTGCATGTGTGAACCCTAGCCTTGTAGAAAATTCTTACCTAAATCTGCTCAACAGACACTTGAAAAAAGGCTTTCCCTGCTGAAATGGAAAAATTTGTCTCCATGTATGGCCAGCTTACCTTTATTTTATTATTACTAAGTGACGTATATTTACCTTTTGGGTGTAAAGAAACCAATGTGTGACTGGTAGAATAGCCATCCATTGCTGGTGCTATTGCTATGATGCTAGAGCTAGTTGTGTAGCCTCATTGCTCCCACTGGAATCCACAGAATGGCAGCGTCTATAGAAACCCATTCTCTTTCTCTACCTGGGCTACACCGCTGTAATCTGCACATGGATGGGCTAGACTTTGCATGAGGCAGCAGATTACTGCCTTTCCAGAAAGTACAGTGTAAACAACAGATTTTCCTCCCTGGAACATGGAAGATAAAGGTTGTGTCCTGGTGGAGCCAGATAAATACAAGCTGTCATAGCGCAGCTGGAATGTAAAGCCAGAGTCACTGAGTGGGGGCTCACAGGGGAGTCTGTACGCACATCACAGAGCACCATTTCATGGTATAGCTTAGTTAATAAAAGGCAGGGCGATGAAAGAATTGGTTTTTTTAACTGACGCTGTTCATTTTTCTATCTGAAACTGGTACAGGGCAGACATAGATGACCACTTTAGTGTCTGTAAATTGTGAGCTAAATGTGTCCATATAAAAATAAACTAAACCTTGCTGAATATAGGCCCCAATTGCCTCTGCAATGTTATGCATCAAAGAACATTGTAAATGAAAGATTGTGAATAAAGCATACAAAAGACATGATTTCCATCCTGATTACTGTGACCCCACTGCAGCCCCTCCGTACACACCAAAACACACACATTTCTGCATTTGTTTCACATTTAGAAAGCTACATTTCAAGAAGTGATGGGTGCTGTAACCAATAATCAGATGAGTGGTGGTACCCAGTAAGCTAGGTGCTCCTACCCAGTGGTTACCAGTCACTTAGGTAGGTGTGCCTGTCTAGTGATCATATCATTCGTTTTGTACACGTCATCAGTTAGATGGTATGTTGCGCCTATCCAGTGGAAAAAAAAGCAGCTTTTCTCTAGTTGTGTCTATCCATTGTAACTGTCAGCTAGGTGATGATTTTTCAGCGGTCATATGTTAGTCTGGCCATTACTATAGATAAGGATTTTAGTGCTTCTGCCCATACAGACTTCCATCAATAGAGCTCACGGGTGCTCAATCTCCAGACGCACAGCTGAAGGTGATTGTCTATGAAAGTGATCTGCACAACCGGCATTGCTCTAAAATCTTGCTTTTATTCAAAAGAATGGCACAGTGGCTAAGTGGTTAGCACTTCTGCCTGGCAGTACTAGGGTTGTTGGTGTGAATCCCAATCACAGCACCACCTGCCTGGAGTCTGTATGTTCTCCCTGTGCCTGTGTGGCTTTCCTTCAACACTCCCAAGACATGCTGGTAGGTTAACTGGATCCTGTCAAAATTGTCCTGTGTATGTATGAATGTGAGCTAGGGACTTGTACATGCCTTGAGGGTTAGGGACTGATGTGAATGTACAATATATCTCCTAGATTGTAAGCTCCAAGGAGCAGGGCCCTCTAATCCCTCTTGTATTGTTACTGTACTGTCTCCCTCCATAATGTAAAGCGCTGAGCAAACTGTTGGCGCTATAGAAGTCCTGTATAATAATAATAAATAAAGCGCTGCATGAATTGATGGTGCTATATAAGTACCTGTAATAATAAAAGAGCCACAGTGTAAAAGTTACAGTTGGTTGGTGTTAACCATAACTCTGGCCATACACTGACTGATTTTCTTCCAGTTCCCGCTGAACCAACTAAAATTTAAGCTGGTGACACCACTCCACCTGACATCCTTCAGTATAAAAAACTGAAGTAGCGGGGCAAAAATGTTAGCTGAACGATGCCCATATCCAATTAGATGCAGGTACTGTCAGCTATCAGGATAAAACAGCCTTCATTGCACACTCCTGAATTAATAGTGTTTAATAGTTAACATAGTCATGTCTATTTAGTGGAACCAACAGCAAAGTGTCTTTCTCTAGTGGAATCAATTGGACAGCTAGGTATATCAGTCAGCTGCAAGCATCCATTGTCAGGCAGCTAGGCATGAATATCCTGTGGTTAAGGTGATTATCCGTCAGTCAGTACATAGATCAGGTGTTTTAACCAGGTTTCCTTCAGAGGTTGATAGAGGTTCCATGAGCAAGCAGTGATTTCTGTCTCTCAGAATGGTAACCACTGACACCAATTATCTTTTTAGCTATCTATAACCGGGATGGGGGATTATTACCTAAGACACCAAATGTAAGGAACATTCTTCCCACCGACATCAAATGTAAGGAGCATTCTTCCCACTGACATCAAATATAAGGAGCATTCTTCCCTCTGACTGCAAACGTAAGGAGTATTCTTCCCACTGACTGCAAATATAAGGAGCACTCTTCCCACATTCTTCCTTACAAATGTAAGGAGCATTCTTCTCACTGACTGCAAATGTAAGGAGCATTCTTCCCACTGACTACAAATGTAAGGGGCATTTTTCCCACTGACTACACATGTAAGGATCATTCTTCCCACTAACTACAAATGTAAGGAGCATTCTTCCCACTGACTACAAACGTAAGGAGCACTCTTCCCACTCACTGCAAACGTAAGGAGCATTCTTCCCTCTGACTGCAAATGTAAGGAGCATTCTTCCCACTGACTACAAATGTAAGGGGCATTTTTCCCACTGACAACACATGTAAGGATCATTCTTCCCACTGACTACAAACGTAAGGAGCACTCTTCCCACTGACTGCAAACGTAAGGAGCATTCTTCCCTCTGACTGCAAATGTAAGGAGCATTCTTCCCACTGACTACAAATGTAAGGAGCATTCTTCCCACTGACTACAAACGTAAGGAGCACTCTTCCCACTGACTGCAAACGTAAGGAGCAATCTTCCCACTGACTGCAAACGTAAGGAGCATTCTTCCCACATTCTTCCTTACAAATGTAAGGAGCATTCTTCCCACTGACCACAAATGTAAGGAGCATTCTTCTCACTGACAACAAATGTAAGGAGCATTCTTCCCTCTGACTGTAAACGTAAGGAGCATTCTTCCCACTGACTACAAACGTAAGGAGCATTCTTCCCACTGACTACAAACGTAAGGAGCATTCTTCCCACTGACTGCAAACGTAAGGAGCATTCTTCCCTCTGACTGCAAATGTAAGGAGCATTCTTCCCACTGACTACAAACGTAAGGAGCATTCTTCCCACTGACTACAAATGTAAGGAGCATTCTTCCCACTGACCACAAATGTAAGGAGCATTCTTCCCACTGACTACAAACGTAAGGCGCATTCTTCCCTCTGACTGCAAACGTAAGGAACATTCTTCCCACTGACTACAAACTTAAGGAGCATTCTTCCCACTGACCACAAATGTAAGAAGCATTCTTCCCACTGACTACAAATGTAAGGAGCATTCTTCCCACTGACTACAAACGTAAGGAGCATTCTTCCCACTGACTACAAACGTAAGGAGCACTCTTCCCACTGACTACAAACGTAAGGAGCACTCTTCCCACTGACTACAAATGTAAGGAGCACTCGTCCCACATTCTTCCTTACAAATGTAAGGAGTATTCTTCCCACTGACTACAAACGTAAGGAACATTCTTCCCACTGACAACAAATGTAAGGAGCATTCTTCCCACTGACTACAAACGTAAGGAACATTCTTCCCACTGACAACAAATGTAAGGAGCATTCTTCCCACTGACTACAAATGTAAGGAGCATTCTTCCCACTGACTACAAACGTAAGGAACATTCTTCCCACTGACAACAAACGTAAGGAACATTCTTCCCACTGACAACAAATGTAAGGAGCATTCTTCCCACTGACTACAAACGTAAGGAACATTCTTCCCACTGACAACAAATGTAAGGAGAATTCTTCCCACTGACAACAAATGTAAGGAACATTCTTCCCACTGACTACAAATGTAAGGAACATTCTTCCCACTGACAACAAACGTAAGGAACATTCTTCCCACTGACTGCAAATGTAAGGAGCATTCTTCCCACTGACAACAAACGTAAGGAGCATTCTTCCCACTGACTACAAATGTAAGGAGCATTCTTCCCACTGACTACAAATGTAAGGAGCATTCTTCCCACTGACTACAAACTTAAGGGGCATTCTTCCCACTGACTACAAACGTAAATAGCATTCTTCCCACTGACAACAAATGTAAGGAGCATTCTTCCCACTGACAACAAATGTAATATCAAGAGTTTCTCCGTGTTAAAAAGGTTGAGAAAGGCTGACATAGAATGGTGGGACTATCCAGTGGTCATCAGTCAGGCACCAAGAAATAACTAACCAGTGGTCATCTATTACGAAAAACCAACTGTCTAACATCTATGCAGACTTTCTGACACAAAAAGATGGGATTATGTGTGAATATAAATGCTGGGGAATGTTGCTGACACGGAAGAATTGGTTTAGATTATCTACAAAACATTACAAAGCCAGTTGAATGGGGTTAACTAGTAGTTAGCTGTTTTAGGTCCAGGGGGATATACACTCACCGGCCACTTTATTAGGTACACCTTGCTAGTGCCAAGAAAACATCCCTCACTCCATTACCCCACCACCATCCTGAAGCACTGATACAAGGCAGGTTGGATCCATGCTTTCATGTTGTTTATACCGAATTCTAACCCGACCATCTGAATGTCCCAGCAACCAGTCTGCCCATTTTCCTCTGACCTTTGACATCAACAAGGCACAACTGCCGCTCACTGGATATTTTCTGTTTTTTCAGACCATTCTCTGTAAACCCTAGAGACGGTCATGTGAAAATCCCAGTAGATCAACAGTTTTTAAAATACTCAGACCAGCCCATCTCGCATTAACAACCATGCCACTTTCAGAATCACTTAAATCCCCTTTCTTCCCTATTCTGATGCTCGTTTTGAACTTCAGCAAGTTTTCTTCATCATGTCTACATGCCTAAATGCATTGAATTGCTGCAATATGATTGGCTGATTAGCAATTTGTGTTACCAAGCAGTTGAACAGGAGTACTTGATAAAGTGGCCGGTGAGTGCATATATTTTAGCCAGGACCAAAGCATTGAAGCCTTTACAAAATTGCTTTTGTTTATTCTCCACATGAAGGACAACATCATTATTGAAGTGCTATTTGGCCCATGAATGTTTCATTGAAATTAGCCCTCCCTTTATCATGCTAATACCTAGATAGCTGTGAGATGAGTCCAGACCTCAAATACATATAATTATTGAGAACTCTCTTAGCATCGGCTGATTGGGCTGGTCAGTGATAAATTAGCATTTCTGTCTAGTCTGCAAAAGCTTATACCGTACCATCCTGCAGAATCTGTTGGCACAGTATGAATAAGTTGATAATGATCACAGCCTTGCTGGCTGTCAGTGACCAACTATCTTCACTCCGGCTGATTGTGTGTGCAGTGAAAAGCTGCCATATGGTCAATGAGAGGATCAAAATCCATTTCACTCACAGGATTCAGTCTAGCTAGTAATCACAGCTTTACATGCCTTAGATGTAACTAGCAACCACAAGACCACTTTCTGAAAGATAACCATCTAAACGGCACACAAATAATAGGATGATTCATGTATTTTCTATATTTTTATACAATTCTAACTGTGTGAAATAGTTGTGATCAGGGGCAGACTGACAACTCATGGGGCCCCCGGGCAATAGGGGATCATAGGGCCCCTGTGTCCTTGCCCAAACACAAAAAAAGCATATGAAAAAGGTACCAGGGGCATCTCATGGGACCCCCTACTGACCCCGGGCCCTCGGGCAGTGCCCGAGTTTCCAAATGGTCAGTCCGCCCCTGGTTGTGATCCACAAAGCACTTTGGAATTACATTACTTGAGTCTAGGGTGACTGTACAGTACATTTTTTATGTATGTTTGTGAAGTAGCAAAGAGCTATAGTACAGCAGCTACAATATAACTTATCCTCTGTTTACACAGCATCGCTGATCACCTGTCTTCAACAGAGACAGTTCAGATATGCTCACCTCTGTTAGCTCCGACCCTTCTGTTTTTAGTACATAATGTACTGTATTCATTGATGGTAAATCAGTAGACCAGGATTCCTCAACCAGGGTTCCTCCAGAGGTTGCTAGGGGTTCCTAGAGCAGTAAGACCTTTCTGACTTTCAGATACATTTCTACTGATACCATTGATCTTTTTAGCTATCTATAAGGGGGTAATTCTTCCCATTGACACAAGTGTAAGGAGCATTCTTCCCGCTGACCATCACACTAGTGTATCATGAATTTAGACATAGACATTTTTTGCAGGGGTTTCCCTCAACCAGAAAGTTATGAGGGGATTCTTCTGTGTTGAAAAGGTTGAGAAAGTTTTCGCAGGTGCGACACTTTTTGATTTTTCGGTCCTTTCCCACCTGGGACTCTCTTCGGGAATCCCGGAATATCCCCCCGGCGGAATTTTTTCGATATCTTCAATTGCGACACTGGCTGCTCTCGCTGCGGGGTACTTCTGCTTTCCTGTACCAGAAATCTGCCTTTGAGCAGCTTTGCCAACAGCGTCCGGGCGTTCCGGGCCTTATATCCCTTCTTTATGCAGCTCTGAACAGACGCTCGTCGCATACTTCTCTTTCATATGTTGTTCAGTGGGAGCGCGACCTGGGAGTGGCTGTGGATCCGGAGGACTGGAATAAGGCCTGGTCACTCATAGCTAAATGCTCATTTAATACGACCACATTGGAGGCAGCCTATAAGGTATTGTTTCGTTGGTACTGGGTTCCGGCTCGGTTGGCCCGGGCTAACCCTGCCTGTAGTGATCAATGTTTTCGGGGTTGTGGCCATCGTGGTGATGTATTGCATATCTGGTGGTCATGCCCGAGACTGTTTCGTTTTTGGTCTCGTGTATTTGGCCTCCTTTTCACCTTGTTCCATCTCTCCATACGCCGGGATGCTCGGTATGCTTTGCTTCATTGCCCCATACCAGGCCTCTTGGCTCACCAGCAGAAGTTGGCTTCCTATCTGTTTTTATCCGCCACTAGAACAATTGCTTAGGCTTGGAAGAGTCCGTTTGTCCCTCTTCAGGGGGTGCGGGATCGTATGACCACTATGATGCTTAACGAACAGATGTCGAGTATCCGCAACGACTCCCAGCGTAAATTTTTGAAAAGATGGGAGCCGTGGTTGCAATATGCCCTTCCCTCACTCCCCCCGGCTAGTCTGGGGATGTAATGGCGTTCGGTATTGGCGCTCTTGAATCCCTGCTCTTTGCCCCCCCCCTTTTTTTCTTTTCCTTTTTCTCTCTCTCTCTCTGTTTTTGGTGTGACTGGACAGCTGCATTTAGTTGTTATAATCAGTTACATTAATGTTTTGTAACTTATGTGCCATTGATAGCCCCTGTGTGGGCGTACCTTTTGCCCTGTTGGCATTAGAGCACTGTTTTTCCCTTTTTTTATTTTGCATTTTGTTTATCTGTGCAATTGATAGCCCCTGCGTGGGCGTGTTTTATTGCCTCTGTTTATACTGTTTAAAAAATTTAATAAAAAAACCATTGAAATAGAAAAGGTTGAGAAAGGCTACAGTAGACAATGCCCATTTCCAATCCAAAGATAGTCTAGATTTGGTCATAGAAATGCTTGGTATAATGCCTAACAACTATTGATTTATATATCTGAGAATATAACAATTAGTTCCATATATTACGAGGGCTAAATTTTTAGGAGTTTGCATGCAGATTGTTTCAGTGGACTCATGACTCATTCTATATGACACAACATGTTCTACTTCTGAGCATATGTTAGATCTTGGCAGTGGAAACAAAGTAGGGCGAGGTATTTAAAGAATAACTAAATGTAAAACTTTTGTTTTTTAGTTTTGGATAGAGTGGAGATGGATTAAAAACAGTTTTCTTTGCTGTCTGTGCCCCCGTTAACCTCTTTATCTCCACCCTATAGCAGAAATACTGCTACAGGGCGGCACCTGTGCGCAAAATCACAAATATATACGTGATTTTGAATCTCCAGGTAGGGGGCGCGTGCGCCCTACCCGCGCTGCAGCTGTCAATTACCGGGTCCCAATGATCCCAAGTGATTACTTGCCAATGCCCTGAAGATCTCCAACGGGGTGAGAACTGTTAGTAAACAAAACAGTTCTCCTCCCTGTCAGCTCCTGCACACTGCTTTGCATGGCTGTGCTGTGTACAGCCATGCAAAGCAAAGCAGTATGCTTATAGTGAAGCACAAACACAGAACATGATGTAAAACGGCACACAGCACACAGTTAACCCTTTGATCGCCCCACATGTTAACCCCTTCATGCTCAGTGCCATTAGTACAGTGTCAGTGCTTTTTATTAGCACTGATCACTGTATTGGTGTCACTGGAAATGACATTACTAATAAAAATGAAAAAAAAAAAAAAGCCCAGTATATATACCACCATTTGTAAAAAGCTATAACTTTCATGTAAACCTATTTATTTACACATATTAGGATTTTTATTTAGCAAAGACGTAGCAGAATACAATTTGGCCTAAATTTATGACTAAATTTGATTTTTTCATTTTTTTACTGGATATGTTTAATAGCAAAACGTCAAATATATTGTTTTATTCCCAAAATTGTCAGCCTTTTTTTTTTATAGCGAAAAAAAATTAAAACCACACAGGCGATCAAATACCACCAAAAGAAAGCTCTATTGATGGGAAAAAAGGATGTAAATTTCATTCGAATGCAGCATTGCATGACCATGCGATTGTCAAAGTAATGCAGTGCCGTAACGCAAAAAATGGCCTGGTCAGAAAGGGGGGTAAATCCTCTGGAGGCC